AATGAATGTAAAAACAAAAACAAAAAAGCAAACATCCCCCCACGTCACGTGAATTATTCACCCCCCTCCCCTTCTTCCCTCCGCATTCCTTCCCCCTTCCCCCCCTCCCCCCACTCTGTCCTGTTTGGCCCTTTTCTTTCCTTTTCCCGCCCTGTCCCAATATTTTCTTCCTTCACTCCCGCCCAGTGACGCACCAAAAAATGTGGCCGCAAGCAAACATCTGGTGCGTAGAAATGTGTACATGTTAAACGTATATATAAATATTTTCAATACACAGGCGGTTAATTACATGCCTTTTATTCACATCCTTCTAATTTCTTTTCAGTTTTTTTTTTTTTTTTTTTTTTAAAGGCACACACACATCCAAAGCAAAATAACAACAAGAATACTTACATATCAAAACATATTCATTGTACGCATATATAAATATAAATAAATATAAATAAATGCAATCATCATTATCAGCAACAGTAACATAACTTCTGTGAGAGGGAAATGGAGTGGAACATCAACAAATTAACATTAAAGAAAGGAAATAAATAAGACGCCAAACAGTAACATAGGAAATATCCAAGTGAAACAAAAAACAAAAAGAAAAAAAAAAAAACAAATTTGATATTTCCCCTACCAAGTAAACAACACTAATAATTGCATGTCTGTATGCGTCATTACTTGCACGGAAGCACATGTAGGCCTCATTGTGTGTATTTTACACTCGCTGCAGGACAAAACAAAAAAGCAAACAAACAAACAAAACAAAACGCACAAAACACATATACACACACAAAAAAAAAAAAAAAAAGAAAAAGACGGGCCAATAATAATAATAATCATCATAACAAAATAGAAGTACGTGAATAATCGCTCCCTTTCATTGCCGTCACCTCCCACCTCCCACCTCTCTCTCTCCCTCCCTCTCTTTCCTTCTTTTCTCGCTTTTTATCCAAAGAAATTTACAGCCTTCTTTCCTTCTAAAGTTTACACCTCTCTCCTTCCCTCTCTATATATAATGGAATATAATATAATGTGTAAGTAAATAAGCATGGATGCATAAATGTATATAACATACAAATGTATTTCTGCGTGCCGCTCTGTCCCTTCACTTCCCTCTGCAGCAATAATTCACTCGTTCTTGGACGATGTTTCCTCTTCATTCGTCTTTTCTTCCTTATTATTATTATTATTATTTCTCTCTCTCTCTCTTTCTTTCTTTTTTACTTAAATGATGTTCTTTCCTCTTTGTTCCAAATAAATATGTAAATACAAATGTAAATGTATCTTTCACTTTCCTTTCTTTCTTCCTTTCACGTTCTTCTTATATATATATATATATATATTCTTTTCTTTTCTTTTCTTTGGTGATGTTTGCTTCAAGTTTTCTTTATTTCCGTCTGTGTTTGCCCTTCCAGTAATAATGTTACTTTTTGATATAAGAGAGAGAGAGGGGAAAAACACAAAACAACAACCACGCAACGTCTTCTACTTCCTTGTTATCATGGATGCAGCTGCCGCGGTGGATTGCCCCACGTTTCTTGACCAACGCACACTGGTAGTGGACTCGTCATGGTCCTGGCACTGCCAACAGTAACATTTACTGCCGCGGTACTTCCAGCGTAGTAAGGGTGATGTTGATTTGGTGTAGAATGTGGCGTGTACCGGTGCCCACCGTACGGGGAACTGTAGCTGCGGTACGCATACCCCGCGTTATTATTCGTGTTACTGTGATACGCAGTGCCTCCTTCCCAATACAAGGCATTGCCAGGCGCTGTTGGAGGTGCTATTGCTGCCGTTGTTGTTGTTGTTGTTGTTGTTGTTGTTGTAGTTGGAGCCACGACACCACCTGAATTATGATAGGCAAATATACTACCGCGTTGACAATTATGTGGATTGGGTGAACTATGCCGGGAGGAATCTCCCCAATGAGGTGAATAGATGGTTGGCTGGGCTAGTACAGATAGTAAAGGTGGTGGATAACTGCTTGTGGAGTGTGTACTGCCATGATATGGTGTATGTGGAGTATTCGTGATGGACCAACTGGCACCGCCGCCACTGCTTAATGGGCGAGCGTGCAAAGGGGCACACAAGGATGCGGGTGGAGCCCCACCCGCGGCAACATTACCACCTTGTTGATACCCCACTGTCCGTTGGTACGGTCCCGCAGAGAGAGGCTGTTCCCGTCGTGTGTGTCGAAGCATTACCGGGGTACACGCAGATGCACCACCTACTGCATTTATAGATGTAAAAGAAATTAGTGCGTTTTGTTGACCTTCCGGTGTGCTTGGTGGCAACTCCAAGCCCAGAGCCCGCAAGGTGGGAATGCCTATGCGAACATACTGCGGCTCCAGATTATTGGGATCATAATCATCCCAGAGATGCAGTTGTCGCCGCCAGACATTTAAATATCTGTCAAATGTGCGTTTACTACAGTCATATTCGGGACGTGGTGTTATGGGGTGCATTGGGTTACGGAACTCACGATCACAGCGAGATGGCACAGCTCGAAGATAGTTACTGTACCCCAGAGTCTCCTTGCCATACTGCACCTGGCGCTGTCGCTGCTGAAGACGCCGCTCACGTTCTGCCGTCTCCCCCATATTTATTTCTGATGCATAAAGTTCCACGCCCGTGTAATTCAAATGTTTTTCCTCAGTCTCAACAATCCGTAAAGCGACGGGACATCGGTAAATATCGGCACCTGTATTATTTCCGTCCCCACCGGATCGTTCGACTAAATCAATATTCGACATGCGCTTGTTATTTATTCCCACACGCGCTGGAATATTACGATTGGCTGCTGCTACTGATACCGCCGCAGCCGCAGGGGGCACAGTACTGGTGGGTCCATTGCCATTCATTGTGCTTTGTGTTGATATTGAAGCCACCGCCGTCCCGCAGAGACCACCAATTGGGCCCACTTGGGGATCGTTGCTGTCAAGGGCGGCGATAGGGGATCGCTGCGAAAAGCGATGCAAAACCGACGAGGCGTGGCCTGATGCAATGGGACCGGATGATCGCGCAATGCCTGTTTTGTACGCCGCCTTGACGGTGACAAGATTCTCCATGTTAATACCCGTATACCCCTCAAGCTCGGACTCTACCCCAAACATAGAGGGTGGTACCCCACGGTACGGCTGGTGCGTTGTCACAGTGGGGGACCGCATTTGCTGTACCGCTGCTGCTGCTGCTGCTGCTAACGCCGGCGCATTTCTGGTCGGGGTAGCTGATGTTGCAACATCTGCCTTGGGCAAGCCACGTCCCACGAATCCCTCCCACGCCGGAGCAGCAACAGCGCTCCCAATACCACCGTTCATCATGTTGTTCCTTGAGCCCGGTCGTCTATTATTCTCATTCATTGACACTGGCAACATGTTTGCGTCCGTATATGTCCCTCCTTATGTTTGTTTGTTTCCTCGTCCACCTCCCCACTTCCCCCTTCTTTATTGCTTCAACTCGTGTGACAGTTTTTCTTTTTCTTTTTTTTTCCCTTCTTTATATATATGTATGAATTGTTGCTGTGGTGGATTCGGCGCTTGGCGTTGCGTTGCACCCCTCGCCTTCCTTCACACTCTCCTTCTTGAAAGGCAGAAAAGAGAAAAACAAACAAAAAAAAACAAGAAAAAAGAAAAAGGACGCAATTCTTGATTTCTCTCTCCTTCCTCTGCATTGTTTCCTCCGCAAAGCGGAGAGCCACACGCACATGCACAAAGGCAGGCGGTGCACTCGATGACAGTCGAGGAGTAAAGAATAATCAAAAAGGGAAATACACCGAACTAAAAGAGACCCACGTGCACATCGCTCCTGTTTAAATGCCATTGAATGCAATAGGCATAAAAGAATGAAAAAAAAAAAAAAAAGAAAGAAGGAGGGGAAAAGGGAAAGAGGGAAAGGTCAACAAGAGTGACGACCAGTCTTCGATAAGGCTGCCCAAAAATAGCAAGTCCCCAAATTGACACAATCTATACAAAAAAACGCCATATCTTCTTCCACTCAGGCACTTTCATCCTAATCAATGCAGCATGCCAACAGAGACAGCACATATATATATATATATATATATATACATTTCTGTTGAGGAATCATCCGAATAATGAGAGCAACAAAAACACCACACCGTTTTTCTTATTTATTTATTTATTATTTCATATTTTACCCCGATGAAAATAATGGACATTCTTCCTTATTAACACCTCGCAGTGTTGTAGGTATCATCATTAATTTATTTATTATTTATTTATTTATCACGAGTACGTTACTCTTATTGTCTCATCTCCTCTTCTTCTCCCCCCCCCCCCACAAATTGAACAGTAAAGGGGAACAGCATTGAAAAAAAGAAAAAA